GTTAAACTTGTCCATCAAGGTCAAATCCTTACCTGCGCAGGACTACGGTGGTACCCGAGAAGTACCAGTTCTTTGTTTCCACCCGTTTTTGACACACGAAAAAACCTTTTATGACGCAATAAAAGGGATTTCTTGGAAGCCACAGCTGGTAAAACTGATATGTATAGAAGACAGGATTTCCTGTCTAACAGGCTCATATTTCTGTCTCACACAGGAAAGGGCCAGGATTTTTTCACCCGGACCTGGACTTCTAGTAATCCCCCCTGGTCTCTGTTAGTGAAATCGGACGCACCTGTGTATTGTTAAGCAAGTAAACAAATATGTTGGCAGTTGAATTGACTGACTTTCTACCCCACCAGGACATCACACAAGCGATAAACACCCGATGACGCAAAGTGCCACCATGCGGATGAGGATCGCCGTGGAGAGGTCCCAGAAACCGCGTTCAGACAATTAGCCATATGTATGGCCTGCCTATATTGCGGCCCCTGGCAAAAGCCAGAGTAGGGCTTCAAATGACAAAAAATTTCGTCCTAAAAAGGACGAAATTGGATTTACTGTAATTGGCAGTTGGAAATCGAAAAGAGTTGCCTCTCGGCGTTGCCTAGGCAAACATTTGGAGTTAAAAATCTATCTAAAGTACTTTAGGATCCTCGCCGGTGCTACAGAGCCTGTGAACTGTGCTGAGCTTCTTCGGACTCAAACAATTTAGAAGAAGAACGGAGCACTCATGGGTTACTACCCGTGTGCCATGATGTTGATTTGTTGTTCAAACCTCAAACCTCCTTAAAAGTAAAAAATATGTAATTATTTCCCATTCACCACATTAATAATAATAATAATAGTAAAGCTTTGAATGTAAAAAATTAATAATAAACATAGAATAATATGAAGAAGAAGAAGAAGAAGAAGAAGAAGAAGAAGAAGAAGAAGAAGAAGAAGAAGAAGAAGAAGAAGAAGAAGAAGAAGAAGAAGAAGAAGAAGAAGAAGAAGAAGAAGAAGAAGAACAAGAAGAACAAGAACAAGAAGAACAAGAACAAGAACAAGAAGAGGAAGAAGATGAGGATAAATAATAATCATAAGAGGAAGCACCAGGAGGAAAGAAAGAAAAAGAAGAAGAAGAAGAAGAAGAAGAAGAAGAAGAAGAAGAAGAAGAAGAAGAAGAAGAAGAAGAAGAAGAAGAAGAAGAAGAAGAAGAAGAAGAAGAAGAAGAAGAAGAAGAAGAAGAAGAAGAAGAAGAAGAAGAAGAAGAAGAAGAAGAAGAAGAAGAAGAAGAAGGAAGAATAATAAGGAAGAAGAAGGAAGAAGAAGAAGAAAAGAGGAAAAAGAAGAAGATAAGCAAGAAGGAGGAGAAGAACAAGAAAAAGGACGAGGAGGAAAAGGAAAGAAAATGAGAAACAAAGCCTCAAATGATTACTAAAATATAGAAAGAAAATGACAGCGATAAATTATTGGCAATCTTACACACATCATGATAGCTGGCCTTTACAGGTAAGCATTAGCACCACATGCCCATTGGGTCTCAATGTATCACATGCGACCAGGTACCCTACCTTTATCACCCTTTATATAGTACACAAATGGACATGTAATAATTGACATTTATAGCAAGAAGTAGAAAGATAGAAGACACACTAGACAACATAAAAGGACGTGGGAACAATATCATGCATCAGATGCATTGCATTAGGAAACGCAAGGGATCAAATGGTTTGGTCCTCTGGTTAGAATGTAGCCACAACAGCTACCATCATATGGGCTATATCTAGAAAGATTTGACGTAAAAGCCAGAAGTGCCCCACACAGAAGATGAGTTGATCGTATTGAAGACACTTTACACCCGCACAGAAGGACACCTGACAGCGTCACAATCTGAATACTGGAGGGTTAAACTTCTTTTTTTTTCTTTCTCAAAACCAAGCCTAACAAAGTGCAGCTACTCACTAAACAAATTTATAAAATGGTGCTGGTACTCACCACAAAGTGTCATTACGGTACCGCTGAGAAAGGCAAAATGACCAACCCCCCCCCCCCCCCTCCACCCCACCCCCGGTCCAACTTAAACATGGTAGCGGCCGGAAACAACCATGCCCACAACGGTTAACGATATTAGATGAAAATGATGATAAAGAGGACATAATGTTATTGCAGCTAATGTATGTGTTGAAATAAAGTGCTGCAAAAATGAGTATACCGAAAATTCGACTAGTGATAGAACATACCTTCGCAGATCGTTTGTTTATTGTCGTCTAAATGCGCTAGAGCGTTCTTCTTCTTCTTCTTCTTCTCTTCTTCTTCTTCTTCTTCTTCTTCTTCTTCTTCTTCTTCTTCTTCTTCTTCTTCTTCTTCTTCTTCTTCTTCTTCTTCTTCCTCTTCTTCTTCTCTTCCACCTTGTACATTGTAAAGTTTCAGTGTGGCTCTCTGTGGTAGATAATACCAGAACATTCTTGTCAGGTGTCCAAACCACTTCATTTCTTGTTCTTTGATTATATGAAAGACTGGCTTTATTCCTAGCATACGTTTGATTTCGTGATATTGTATTTTGTATTTGCTTGAAACTCCTTGCAGCTCTTCTAAGGCATTTCATCTCTGTTGTCACAATTTTACATCATACACCCTAGATCAGTGTCTCTCAACTTTGAACATGTCGCAACCCTTTAAAACAATTCCTCATTTTGTGGTGACCCCCAACCACTAAATTATTTTCTTTGCTTCTTCAGAACTTCAGTGAATATTTGTTTTCCGATGGTCCCAGACGACGCCCGTGAAAAGGTCGTTCGACACCCAAAGGCGTCGAGACCCCACATGTTGAGAACCGCTCACTTAGATCATTATCATAAGCGCCCCCTGTCGGCTGATTTTGCTCACGTCTGACCAGGTGGCCATACCATTTGATTATCTAACGTTCTATAAAATGATCATGCAATCATCTATACAATACAATATTTACAACTCTGCTTTGTGACCTCAACTAGTTGAGTTCATACAAATTTAGGATCACCCCAAACGTTATCTTACGAAATTCACAATTCCTGTGCACGAAACAATGACAAGTTCAACAGTCACAATAGAACCATACAAGTGTATTACAACAAGTTTATTTCCAGACACAAATTCAAACTGATTAAAATAGTCAAGTTTAATATACATATATTTTTTCTTCATGCGAGCTATTTTAGCAGTAAATAAACATAATTAATGGAAACTTAACTTACGAAATTGGATTTTCTTGATCAACAAATTAGAAAAAATAAAATAACAGAGAAGAAAGAGAAAAAAAAAATTATACAATTATTAGACGAAAAAATGAGACCGAGAGGGGGAAAATAAAACAGAAATTCGCCGTTTCTGTATTTCAGTTATGTAAAGAGACATAAATTGTTAGATTATGTACTGCAGGTAAACAATTTGAGGTGTAGAGTGGAGAAGAAAATCAGCAATATATCTTGCTATATAGCATCAACAATTGGACGGAATAAAAATCGATATATATATGAGTGCAAAATTATTATTTGAAAAAAAAAAAAAAAAAACAACATATGCAGAATAATTGAAAAGAGCGTCATCTTCGTTGTGTTGATCCTGGGACCACATTGTGGGGAAAACAACAATGGACCAACTGCCTGTCCAACAAGCATGACGTAGGAGTCGACTAATAAAGGTTCTTCTAGGTCGGAGTGCATCTACCAGAGAGGTGAGCAACCGGTCATCTGCTAACAAATAAGCCAGATCTGTAAAACGAATGTGTACGCAGAATTCTGGTTCTGAAAACAGACTGAAGTCCAGGGGTGGACGAACAACCAAACCTTTTATCTGGAGTTTACTGCCGGTGAAAATGAAGAAGACGCAGACTGTGTCAGCTATTCTTCTTAAAAGCTTTGCCGTGTGGCGTTGCTGATCATGTCTATCCACAACCGTCGTGTCTCATATACTTTCACTCACCTCTGACACAGATGTTCTTCCATGCCATGATGTCAAAATTATCCAACATCTTCTCTCTCGGTTTAAATCTGCATCTCTTCCCATCCAACTGTCCACCTGTCACGATGTACTCCAGCTTTCACCTTTCACCTGACCAAAGAATATAGATTGCCCCTTTCTGATGTTGGCAGTCAGTTCCCTTAGGGGTCAGTTTCTTTAGAGACATCTTCTTTACAATTATATCTTTTCCGGGTTTTCTGCCACTATTATATAGATCACATCTCTGCAGCTTCGAATATTTTGTTCACTAATCGACTAACTGTCCTCTATTAGTATACATTCTGCTTCTGCCTTTTATTCTCCAAAGGAGCATAGGGCCTCAACCGGCTCAAGCCAAGTCGTTCTATCCTTTGCTATTTATTGCAGCTCTTCTAATGTCCTCTCCATATTTTAACTTCACTCTCTAGCGCTCTATCCAATGCGTTTTTTAAATCTTCCTTTGTTACTGTGCCCCTGTGGGTTCCAGATTACTATAAATTATTTACTTTTATTTTAATCATTTCCATTTTTATAATAAGTCGAGGCTTCATCAACGTGAATTTCAAGGACCGAAAAACTAACCAGGACTTATAATACATGTGACACTGTAAACCCCTGCTTTGACAACAAGTTTGTTTATGTTAAACGAATGTTCGTGATAAGTGAGTTCTTGTTAACGAGATGTTACTGTATTTTCACATTGTAATTGACTAATATGAGAGTAAGTTCATCTGTGTGTGTTGTGTTTTTTTTTCTCGTCTTTGTTCCGCTAATCAAGGCGAATCACCGGAACGTCCTTTGTTTGTTTATTGTAAATGGGTCTGCGAAGCTGGCAAATACTGTATTTTTCAAACCTTTTGCAGACTAGCGCTAATCATTATCTGCTACTGGATGTTGAAAGTAATGAGGCTGTGAAAAGAATGTGATTGTCATTTTCTCTATCAGTATTATAGGAAATGATTGGGAAAGAAAAGAACATTAAAACTTCAGAAATAAAAAACAAAAAAGAATAAATCCACGGCAGCAGCAGAGCCGAAATTTCAGGGTCGCTGGTATCGAATCCAGGTTCTGAAAAAAAAAAATTTGACAAATTTAAAAAAAAAAAATAAACTTTTTCTGATGAAAAAAAAAAAAAAAAAGGAAAATGTTGAGTTGAAATGAATGGAGATAATCAACACCATTAGGAACGCACAACGAATGATGAATACCAAGTGGTATAAAGTACCACCATTCAGATGAGAATAACTAGGCGGAAGTCCCAGACACTCCAATAAACCGTTGGGGTATATCAGGGCTGCCGACAACAGCTTTTTGGGGCTATAACGAAAAATTCCGCCACAGATTAAGACGGCTGTTTCGAGATGATCTTCGACTGGTTAAGAAGCTTAGATGTAGAAGCCTAGCTGTGAACTACAACACAATGTGTTCACGTAGAACAAGAATGTTTTGACACCAAAGCACATCGACACAAACGCCAGTTTGTATCACAGAATATCTCTCTTGGTCTCCTCCTCCTCCTCTCTCTCTCTCTCTCTCTCTCTCTCTCTCTCTCTCTCTCTCTCTCTCTCTCTCTCTCTCTGTATCTCTCTTTCTCGCTCAGATTTACTTGCTGAAAATGGAAATGATTAAAATAAAAATAAATAATGTATAGTAATCTGCACGCCACAGGGGTATGATAATAAAGAAAGATTTAAAAAACAGACAGTGAAAAGTAAGCTAGAGAGTGATGTTAAAAATATGGAGAGGACAATTATTGGATATATAAAGAGTTATATCCCTCTTATATAATCCAAGGGGAATTGTATGATGATAATAGACCAGACGTAGAACTGCAGACCAACAATGATGGTCCACCAATAATGACTGCAAAAGTTGAGGATGCAATACATCATATGTAGAAAGGGAAAGCACCCGGGCCAGACAACATCTCAATGGAAGAAATCGAAGCACTGGGAAATTTTGGAATTAAAATAGTAACTAAACTTTTAAATGATATTTATAATAGTGGGTATATTCCACCAAAATATACCAATTAGTGACCCTTTATAAAAAAAAGGCAGATCATTTATCTCCATGTAGCACATTCTTCGTGGACCATCAATCTCTTCACGCCGCGTAGAAAAACAATGTGCTGTTTGCTTCTTAATAAAATCGGTACAAGATGTTGTTCTTCGATAGTTTAATCTTAAACTCTGTCTTGTACGATTAAGCTGGTTGCTTTATTGGTGCATTACATTGAGCAAGTGGTAATTTTACATAGGTGATTGCTTCATATTACTTGGTAATACTCTTTTAGTATGTACAAGAAATGCGATTTTGTTTTAAAAATTTCACAAATACACCACCTACCTGCGTTTCGACAACTTTTGCTCTCTGCCAACTTCTGCAGCAATTTCTTCCAGGTCAAATTCACAATCCAAACCCAGATCATAGAGTTTAGAGTTCACTTGGCTATCCAGGGACGTGTACTGATCATGTCCAAGTGGATACTTGTAGAGTTTCGTCACCTTAATAAGACATTTCAAGTATGGTCGGATCATTGAACAGCTTGGGCTAGGATTTTGGTTACTTATATCAGTGAAGGTGTTTATGCAATCTTCCTTTGTTTGATCGCCGTTATAATCTGAAAATTAGGTAGAATTAGTCATCGACTGTACCATTTGTATGGACAAGAAAAACAATTTTCGCATGTAAGCCAACATAAATCGCTTCAAATCTACTTTGAACGTCAACATAAATCGCTTCTTCTAGTTTGCACGTCAAAATAAATCGCTTCAAGTCTAGTTTGCAGACCATCATAAAACACTTTTAAGTCTAGTTTGCACGCAAAATAAATCGCTTCGTCTAGTTTGCACGCCAGCATAAATCGTTTAAAGCCTAGTTTGCTCGTCAACCAAAATCGCACGCAAATTACACTTGAGGACTAGCATAAACAGCCAAGAAGTCTCGCCTGTGGGTAAACATAAACAGCCAAGAAGTCTCGCCTGTGGGTAAACATAAACAGCTAAGAAGTCTCGCCTGTGGGTAAACATAAACAGCCAAGAAGTCTCGCCTGTGGGTAAACATAAACAGCCAAGAAGTCTCGCCTGTGGGTAAACATAAACAGCAACAAGTCGATGCGAACGCTTCGTAATGCCGGGATGCTGGGTTCGATCCCAGCTGCGGGCCATGCGCCTTGTTTTCGTTTCGACAGTGGTATATAGAAAGCCGACCGCCCAGATAGCAATGGCAAACTACTAGACGTAAATTTGCCTAGAAAAACCACACAGCAGCCATGGGCAGTTGAGGTTGGTTCTGCCAAGACATGTAAAGGATACGCAACTAACCTTATACTACTACTACCAAAGTCAATATTTAAGTGCACTGCATCAACCAATAAAGTCAGTATTTAAGTCTACTGTATTAAACAGTAAAGTCAGTATTTAAGTCTACTGTATTAACCAGTAGTAAAGTCTGATATTACTACTGACAAACTCAACATTCAAGACTGACATTGCAACTGACAAAATTAGTATTCAAGTCTATCACTATTACTGACCTTGTCAGTACTTAATTCTGTCACTCTTAATGTTTTCCTTATAATCATCTCCCTGTATATCCAAACATCACTAAACACTTCACACATGTAACATTACCCAAACATTTCATACACCTAACATGGCATAACCATTACGTAAATGTAACATAACTTTATTATTTTACTTTTACATATCATTATAACAGGGAAAACGGTGAGGACATTTGTCTAGTGGTGCCGAGTGTCATGTGTTTCACAAAGTTGTCTGTTTTGATAAAACAAATAATTGCGAAGGGAAAAAGAATATACCCACGCCTCGAAGATGCATTGCCTTTCTAGACCAAACCTTTGTGCTCAAGTTAAATTGTGTCTGTGTGTGTGTGTCTGTCTGTATGTCTGTCAGACGACCTACAAATGACCCGGTTATAGCACATCTCGTGTATTTATCAGTAAAATACTGCAACACCCATAAAACAGAAAATCAGAAAATGTGGGGTAATAAAGTTGTGTCGCACCCTCTTATGTACACATATAAGGGCTGTGCGCCCAACTCCCCTCCTCAAACATCGTTCGAAGCAGCATAATTGTACAAAAGGATGAATGACCGAAGAATTGACATCACTACATTCGGGGTCTTCTCAGTGCTATGACCTCATTCTCAGAAACAACGAAGAGTTCCCATACTATGATGGTGTCTGCAGCAACCTGATTTAAAGCTCGCCTGTAGTTTCCTGTGCGGTTGAAAGCCCATCAGATCCTCTGCATATTCCCTGCTTGTTGCCACAAGTCCGTCCAAGATTCGCGTGACGTTTATCTCGAAAAATACTGAACAGGTCGCCAAGAGTTCAAAACACTATTTTTCCTGCAGCGAATTTAAATAATAATGAAACAAACAATACAGTGCACAGTTTACTGCATGACATATTCAGCTGTAGATCGCCAGGTGCATCACCACACTGAAATCAACATACAATAAAGCACACGCATACATACATTCACACACACATACACACACCAAACACATCTTTCCACTAAAACACACAGATCACATTTTCTCTCTCTGCACACTGATTGTCTGATCGCCGGAAGATCCAGACAGCCACGTGATATCAAGACAGCCACGTGGTATCAAGACAGCCACGTGATATCAAGACAACCACGTGATATCAAGACAGCCAGGCGATATCAAGACAGCCACGTGGTATCAAGACAGCCACGTGATATCCAGACAGCCACGTGGTATCAAGACAGCCAAGTGGTATCCATACAGCCACGTGGTATCAAGACAGCCACGTGATATCAAGACAGCCAAGTGATATCAAGACAGCCAAGTGATACTAAGACAGCCACGTGATAGCAAGACAAACACGTGATATCAAGACAGCCACGTGCTATCAAGACAGCCACGTGGTACTAAGACAGCCACGTGACAGCAAGACAAACATGTGATATCAAGAAGCCACTTTTTATCAAGATAGCCACATGATAGCAAGACGAACACGTGATATCAATTTAGTCACATTTTCTTACCACGCCTAATTTAAATTTACAATAAATTTCGACTACTTGTATCAAGTATATTAAAAATAGGATAAAGTAACTTAGCCATTTACACGACTTTAATCTTATAGGGCATATAGGGCTAGACCTTTATTTTTATAAACCAACCGGCACAAGATGGGCGATGTGGTCAGCATCACGCCGGCCGCCTTTACTTCCCTGGACTGCATCCAGTACCCACTCAAGGCTAGGTCGACCTGGGAGCCAAGGATAAAAAAATAATAGTTGTTAGTTAAAACAGCTGCACCAGTCTCCTGTTGTGTGTGGGGGTGCGCGCGTGTGTGTGTGTGTGTGTGTGTGTGTGTGTGGGGGGGGGGGGGTGACTCAGTGTTCCTGTTAAGTACGTTTCTTGACTCCAGCAAACGATGTTCTATTAAAGAGTTGGGTTCATTCGACTCAGTTGCTTGAATCCGGACACGTAATCTATGGCACAAGTGCATTGCGTGTTACTTACCACAAACCCAACATTAGACTGCTGAATCTAGCTACTAATACAGGTTAACTCTTGATGTGTCTTCTCTTCTAACACTCGTGAAACAGAGCTCCCAAAATCAGAGCAAGGAACAAACATACAAAGGAGCTCTATTTGTACACTAACAAATATGCGTGGCATTATTCTAAAAAAAAAAAAAAAAAAACACAAAAAGCCACAGACAATGGTTACCTGCATCGGTGATTTCAGGTATGGCTGCTGTTGGAACATCTCTGCCGTTTTGTTCTCTGGCAACTTCTGCAGAAATTGCTTCAATATCAAACTGGCAGTTCAGACCTGACGTTTGGAGTTGAGCGTGCACGTGGTCATCCAGAGCCGTGTATTGATCGTGTCCAACTGGATACTTGTAGAGTTTGGTCACTCTGATGAGACATTTCAGGTATGGCTGGAAAAGCGAACAGCTGATGCTCGGACTCTGGTCAGTTAGTCTTGTGAAAGTTTTTAAGCATTCCCCCACAGTTTGGTCACTGTCATAATCTGAATGTTGAGTAGAAACAAACATCGTTTGTAACATTTGACTGGACAGTTTTGCATGCATGCTAACTTAAATAGCTCAGAGTTCCGTTTGCACACTAACAAAGCAAGTCTCCTTGCACGCTAATATAAACTCAAAGAAGCAAAAAATAGCAAACCAGTTTCCCCTGTGCGTCAACCTAGCTGCAAAGCAGTCTATGTCGTAGCTTAACATAAAGTTACAAAGAAATGTCCATTGTAACTCAATATAGGCAGTAACAAGACCCACTGGTAAGTAACTATAAATAGTCAACAAGTTTCACTTGTACGTTAAATAAAAAGCATAAGAGTCGATAGAAATCTTGCTCACACATCAACATAAACAGGAAAGAAATCTTTCTTACACATCAACATAAACAACAAAGAAATCTTGCTTACACATTATAATAAACAGCAAAGAAATCTTGCTTACACATCAAAATAAGCAGCAACGAAATCTTGCTTACACATCAACATAAACAGCAAAGAAATCTTGCCTACGCATCAACATAAACTGCAAAGAAATCTTGCTTACACATCAACATAAACTGCAAAGAAATCTTGCTTACACATCAACAAAAACAGCAAAGAAATCTTGCTTACACATCAACAAAAACAGCAAAGAAATCTTGCTTACACATCAACAAAAACAGCAAAGAAATCTTGCCTCGAGTGCTAGAGGTAACGGGTTCAGACCCTGGTGGAGGCTTTGATTGTTTTGAAGAGGACGTCTAATAATTTGCCCTGATCTCTGGGTAGTGAGATCGAACGCCCGTGTGTTTTGATGCACACGAAAAAAAAATATCTTGGCAGTTGTCGTAAAGTGATCCATTCACTTCTGCACATTCGACTCTTCATGACGTTGGCGCCCCTAGCGGGCAGGTCACATTTCAAAGTTAGACCCGTCCGGTGGGTATATAGTCCCTCATATCTATTTATACCTCTATCTGGTGGAATAGATATTTCTATAACCTCTAGTTGTTTTTAAAAGTCTACATTTTCAAACTTACAACTGTGGTATAGATATTTTCTGGATTAATATTCAGAATTCATGGAAGCCCTTTTACTCCTTTCTAGAGACGCCAAGCGAGATCAGGCGGGTCATTCTTTGACTTCCTAGATGTAAAGAAGTATTTCACCTCTCTGATAAAATCTTGGCGCATTCAAAATACCAGTTTAATCTTTGAAGGATTCCTTTAGCTTGGGATGATACCTTTCTGGAGGTCAGGCAAACGATTCACAGTCCAACCAACCTATATCCACAAATAGTACCTACTATCACCACAATTTCAACATGACAGGAGCTTGTGTGAGTTCCAGTGGCTAAGAGGCAGTTGTTGCAGGCCACGCAGTGTCATCACTCAAGGGATCTTTCTTCAGGAGCTTTGCTGATCTCTAGTACAATCACTCTGTTCCAGGAGATGAACTCTGTTCCAGCATAAGAACTTTGTTCCAGTGAGTGATCCCTGTCAGTGTTTGCAAGAGTAACTAGAAGAGAAGCAGTCTACTGAATCAGTTAGATCAGATCTTCATGGACCTAAGGGAGCAGTGACATTCACCAACTGTAGATAAGTACATCTGGGACAATATACCTAATGCTCTATCTACAGGTCTACCCGGAGTCGTGATGATGATCACTGATACTCTCAAAAACTGACTCTGGCTCATTCAGCAGTACTCTGTAGACTTTGCTGCCTAAGCTGTAATGGCCTTTGAACATCTTAGATTGTCTTGATGATATATATATATATACTTATGTGTTGCATTTATTACATCCATTCAGAAGTTGTCATTACTGACTTGGGTGTCCCTGTGTCACTATTCAAACTGTCTAGTTTTTATTTTTGTGTGATTATTAATTTTAATCTGTGTTAACATGGCTGTGATAGTACACTATAATAGCCTGGGGGCTATCCTTTTATAGTAGTGGGGGTGTCCAGCCAAGTTGCGCCTAGAATTATTAGATATTCTGCAGTGCCACAACTTGAGTTGCCCTACTCCTGAAGTAGGTTGGGCTTATATTGGCCACTGGATCCCCTTTAGACCAATACGAGCCGACGCCTCAACATTATTCTACTTCAGAGTGCTGTTAGTTTACAAGGAGATATCCCTAAATCAGGCACGCGACACGAGCGGTATGTGACAGCAGTTGGAAATCGAAAAGAGATGCCTAGCGGCACTGCCAGGGTAAAATTTAGAGTTGAAAATTTACCCAAAATATTTCAGGATCCTCGCTGATGCTACGAAGCCCGTGCACTGCGATGAGCTACTTCGGACTGAGACTTGAGTTAGAAGTAGAATGTAGCACTTATGGGTTACTATCATTGTGCCATGATGTTGATCTGTTGTTCAAACCTCAAACCTCAAACGATCTAGTGGCCAAAGATAATCATTACAAAAAAAAATATGACTTGATACTGTTTGGGGCGGATTTGAGCCCAAGACGTTCACGCTGGCAGGCAGTGTCTAACTACTGTTCCAACGCGGCTCCGAAGCCAGGAGGTGAGTGACAATAAACAGGGAGACAACAAGTGACAAGTACTTACCAGTTGAAATCGGCGCTCCGAGAACCACTAGGAAAAAAAAAAAAAAAACGATAAGTGTGACAAGACAATAACAATATCAGAGACAGTCAGTTTGCTTTATATGGTCAGCTGAGACTGGGTATTTAATTAAAAAAAAAATATTTCCGTGTGTTTTATAAACTGTAGCACATTGAAACTTCTTCTTCTTCTTTCTTTGGCATTCCGAGCCCTTGAGGTTCATTGCTGAAGATATCACCCTCCTCCATTCATCTCTCTGGTTGGCCTTCTCTTTTCAGTTGGTGACACCAAGTGTTTGCAGGTCTGTCTGGATATTATCTCTCCAACGTCTTCTTGTTCTGCCTCGTGGTCTACGACCATTCATCTCCCTTGTGTATACAGTTTTTACTTCTCTGTCATCTGACATTCTTTCAAGATGCTCTAACCATTTCAGCCTATTAGCTCTCATGATGCCAGTTACCAGTGGTGATTTAAACAGATTATGAATTTCGTTGTTGCTTCTCACTTTCCATTCACCGCTGTTTGCCTCTTTAATGGGTCTAAAGATTCATCGTAAGACTCTTTTTGAAACTACTAGTAGTGATTGTTTGTTTGTTTGTTTGTTTTAGTATCCAGAAGCCATGAGTTGTTTACCCTTAAACTCGGTATTATGGATATCGCAACCTTTCGGCCTTGATTCCATTGTAAATACTGTAAATCTGGGAGAAATATGGCTTTCCTGCCTACTCTCGGGATTGAACCCGGACCACAAGGAGTTCGTCACCCGATCTCCGCGCAATCCGGTTTAGCCAACTACGCTGGAGAGCCGGGCACTAGTAGTGATAAAATTAATATACTAAATGTCAAAATGATTGAAGTATATATAACCACCACCATCAGTGTCATCATCATCATCATAACCACCTCTACCACTTATTATCTGTTACAGCAAAAAAAAAAATGGAACGCAGTTTGTCGTTATTTTAAAGCCCCGTCACGACTGTTGTTGGGGGCCCCACAATAACTTTATGGTTGAAGAGAGTTGCTGGGACTTGCACCTGGGTGTTTCTCATCCGATTGTTGGCACTTTGTGTCACCAGGTGTTTGTCGCTCGTTTCGAGGTCCTGGTGGAGATGAGCATCATTCCCTCATTTGTCACAACAACTATCGTCTTATAAACATGTTATTACTGCTAGTACTACTACTGCTTCTGCTGCTTCTATAGCTGTTGATGCTTGTACTCCTCCTCCTACTACTACTACTGGTGCTGCTGCTTCTATAGCTGTTGATGCTTGTACTCCTACTACTACTACTACTACTGCTTCTGCTGCTTCTATAGCTGTTGATGCTTGTACTCCTACTACTACTACTACTACTGCTTCTGCTGCTTCTATAGCTGTTGATGCTTGTACTCCTACTACTACTACTACTACTGCTTCTGCTGCTTCTATAGCTGTTGATGCTTGTACTCCTACTACTACTACTACTCCTGGTGCTGCTGCTTCTATAGCTGTTGATGCTTCTACTCCTACTACTACAACTACTGCTTCTGCTGCTTCTATAGCTGTTGATGCTTGTACTCCTACTACTACTACTACTACTACTACTACTACTACTACTACTACTACTACTACTACTGGTGCTGCTGCTTCTATAGCTGTTGATCCTTGTACTCCTACTACTACTGGTGCTGCTGCTTCTATAGCTGTTGATGCTTGTACTCCTACTACTACTGGTGCTGCTGCTTCTATTACGATATCAAATATTACTACTAATGCTACTAATACTACTTTTACTATTACTACTACTATGTGAGAAATCGTGGCGTAGCTGCTTCCACTATTACTAGTCTTACTGTTATTACTGCTGCTGCTGAGGCTGCTAATACTACTTTAGTTGCTACTACAGCTACTACTACAACCTATACTAAAATTGCTGCTACTACTACTACTGTTACCACAACAAATACGACTCACCATGTACCCCAATTAGCACAAGAGCCAACAACATTCTACCCATCTTCTTCTGCTCTCGGTATATCTGGACTTTAAACTGCACAAAGACGGTCTTCAGAAGTATGTGATTGTCTGAAACACTGTGCTGTATTGTCCCCCAAGTGGCAAATACTCATGTAGCTTATATAGGGCTTTTGACGTGTGTGTTTACTGACATACCGATATTTCGTAAGAGACCAAAATAATACCCTTATGTAACTCTGTTTCTAGGAAAGACAGTTCTGTCAGTGCAATGCAACGCGCCCAAAAATTTGTAACCTTTCCTGGTATTTATCTCCAATGTTTGGTGAACGTCCCCAAGAAGAGGGTCTTTTTACGTCATTGTTTAACTGGAATTGGACGTGGTCAATAATTTTGGGACATAGCGTGGGAAGGAATGGACACGAGAAATTGGTAATTTTTGGCAAGACCGATGGTAAGATAGCAAGATAAAAGCACAGAGATGGATACCTAGATGGCCTTAGCCTGTTTGCTGACACTGCGGTTGCTTCGGCTGGCCCAGTACTGGATAGAAGGGATGTTATCAATGCCATGAGCTGCACTTACCGTACCGAGGAGCACGCCAAAGGACATGACTCCGTATCCCTGTCTAGACTGATGGACATGGGGGGTGCCGCCTGGAGCTGCAAGAAATAAACATTTTACAAAGGGGATAAGACGTTTCATTAACCAACACAGAACAAACGTCATCAGCCGTTTTACACGTATTGAGCCTTTGAGAAGGAGATCGGAGCACCTATTGATCTGTCCGGAGTCCTGTGATGAAAATTCTTTCTAATCCCTAATCACTAATCACTATGGCCTTAGCAGATGGGTGCAGGAGAGACAAAGACATTGACCTGATCAAGGATTCTCAGGATGGTGTGAGTTGGCTAAACATGGCAGCCTACATTTACCGACACGGCACAGGGTGATGATCTCATTTGGCATTTGATACCGGACTCATATTTATAGTCCCATCCGCACACAGTGTGTAATATGGGAATACCACGCAGTTTTGCGTTTACTTGTGAGAACATTACCTAGACCCATTTTGCGGAATTGTTAGACAGGTACTGAAATGGGAAACACAGGAAGAAGCACAGACGCCCCAAAGAAATCCTACGACGAATGCGAATGTGAGAGGTCGAAGATGATTCCATATACTAACCGTCTGGATAGGATAGAACGGAGTAGAGTAATTGACTGCGATACCTTTATAAGGCATAGATAGCACAGCATAATAGTGAGGCATTTAGGCTGACGGATATTGACTAGAGAGTACGTGACTAGAGAGAGTGACCATACGAATGTGACTGGGGAGAGGGACCTTGCGTTCGTGACTGGAGAGAGAGAGAGAGAGAGAGAGAGAGAGAGAGAGAGAGAGAGAGAGAGAGAGAGAGAGAGGGAGAGACCATGCGTACGTGACTTGAAAAAATGACTATGCTTACGTGACTCGGGAGAGACACCACGTGCGTGACTGGGAAGAGGGACCATGAGCGGTCCTTCCTCATCTTCAGCAGTCAGAGAAAAATGTCCATGTTGTCAGAAGCAACTTGAGTATATATCCGTCTTGCCTTTCCACATAGTACAGATTGTCGACCAGATCCACTGGTCACACCCAACTATACAATTCACTCCAGTCCATAGTGATCTATTTGCGCTTTCATCTTCTTTATTTCCCAATAGAGAGCCTTAACAATATTTAGCTTGTCATGCATACATTTTTTCGCGCAGTAGTGCCGATACGAAATAGCTGGGTCACACCCGGAGAATGAAGGAAAGCAGAGTCCTTAAGGACATCCTTTATGGTGAATTAAGGGTAGGTAGAAGACGTCGAGGCCGACCTCTACTACGGGATAAAGATGTGTGTAAGTGGGACATGAATTATACAAATATTGAGGTGTACTCAATGGAACAAAATGTCATGGACCGTGTGGTGTGGAAAGGGCATATCTGGAAGGGAATGAGAGTGAAGGATGAAATGACTGCAGAAAGGATGAGAACTGAGAGTCTGAGAAGAACCGGATTGAACACAAATGTTGACAAAAATGGTCCTGAAATCCCATGCTATCATTGCAAAAGATTTTTCTTGACACGGGCGGGTCTTGCTAGTCACACTCGCCATCGCCATGGGCTGTGAGTCTCATGTCTCCTCATAGCGCAATACAACACTGTCGTCCGGAAAGGTGCCAATCAATCCAATCATTAAGTGCCGATCCTCTCATTTGTTCGTCTCCCAACACATCTGGAGAAAACCTCCAAAACAATTAAACTTCTTGGGGCTTCTGAAGCGATGCTTGCCGCTCTGCAAGAAGCATGCTTGTCTCAACCATTATAAGTGTTGAAATCCCGTGTGTATACAGCTGAGTCTCTTGGAAGGGGTATAGTTTTGAGGTAGTTTATTCCAACAAAGCGTAGCATACTCGATCGACACCAAGTGTTATATAATTACGTAAAAGCAGTTTCGGGTACATCAATAAATGTCAGAAAAGAAATTAAGAAAAGTAAAATTAGGAAAAGTAAAGAATTAAAAAAAAAAAAAATGTTTGAAAAAAAAACAACAACACACACACACACTTAAATCATCTTCAATTTTTGGTCAATCCCGTGTGACTCAGGTGTTTCGATAGGGAGGGGTGGGAGAAGGTCAAGAGATCGAAAACATTCAGATTATTTACTCGACTGCTAAACACCGATATCGTAACTAAGGATTTGCTGATATCACTTGTGTTGGACTATTCGGTGCAGATATAATAGGGACATAACAGTGAACAACAACGCAATGTTCCAATCAGTCAATCAATCAGGTGCCGTCGCCAAGGTAAAGGTCGGCTGTAATGGATCTCCATAATACTTAGTCGCTTGTACTGGTTGTACACTCTCTCAGAATGCTGTTCGTACATCGCTTTACGTTGTCTTCCCAATTATATCATTGCATACCCCTTGCTTTCTTACCCTAGACCTTTCTATCCAGTATGGTTTTTAAAAGCGTATTATAACTTTGACTGTGGCCAACGTGTTTTAATTGCCTCTTTTTTTATTTCTGTTACTAAT